TGCTGGGACATAAGAGGAAGGACAAAAGGACTGGCAGAGCAAACCTCAGTGGAGAGCATTGAGTGCTCAGGCATTTCACAGAGTATGGGAAACTTCTATTATGCTTGTATTCCTTAAAAGCATTTGGAATGTTTCCTTGAAAAGGTGCGGGTGATCAGTGAATAGATACGTCATCCAACCTCTCACATTTCCAGGGAGTTTCTGGTTGCTTTGGGAACATTTTGTAAGTCTCGGGAAAACTTGTAAATTATTTCATGACGGCTCAGCACGAAGGATACTCCTGTAGGAAGGAGACTCCTGTATTTCATTTTCTGGATGTCAGAAGATCCAAATTCCCTGTTATACGCCTAATAAATGCCATTTCACTGTGCCACATTGCGCTTTAGACAGCAAGGCTGAGGCGCTGACAAGCTGCTGTGAGATGATAAATCTCTCACCCAAAGTGAGGAATCTGTCCAGTGACCAATTTAGAGAGATTTTAAATCAGCCTGGCAGATGATGAAGGCTTGTTCTTACCTATTGTGGTTTTTTATTATTGAATGGAAGAGAAAATGAAATTGGGTTATTCTGTCATACAGAAAAGATTTCACGGTCCTGGTACCCATGTATGCTGTATGATATATAAATCCTCCTCAGTGTAGCGTCTCTTCATTAGGAGTGATCCCAAGATATTTTACGCACTTCTGTCAGGATGTCGAAGGGATCGTTTTATCCACCTTAACTGCAATCAGCTCCAGGGACAAAATGCTCCAAATGTTTAACAAGAGAATGATTTTGAATAATAATTGAAGTGTATTGTATCCTGCAAAAATCACCTGCTCTGTATTTCAGTTCTTACAGGAATCTAAGTTTTATGGTTTTTATGCCTGTGACAATATGAGATAAGTTTAAAATTGTGATTTACTAGCCAAGTCGTTCCAGGCAGCCACAAGTATTTGTAGTCGATTAAGAGGGTGAATTTCAGGCTCAGAGTTTTGTTCCAGTTCTGGTGCTTGCAGCCTCAAAGGCTGATATGTGCCGTGGTCATCACTTTGGTTTTTTTAATCACAACTACAGTGTTTCTCAAAATAATCTTCCGATATTTTGCGGAAAGCAGGTCTTTATATCCACCGACTCCCCGTTCATGGCTCTCAGGCAGGAGACCAGCTCATCGGGGACCAGCGTTTGCTCTTGAACTTCGCTGGCCAGCGTGTGTCCCCACTGGTTCTCCAGGAGGGAGCTGTGTCCCCCCTGGAATGAGCCGAATGCATGGCTTTGCCCACTCCGGCTGTTGTTTAAGATGAGGTTGATCTTCTCCAGCAGACAAACGTGGTGCCCCCGTTCCTCCCCATCCCACAGGTGGGAAATGGGACTTGTGTAGTCTCTGAAGAAGATGTTCATCTCTGGTTCTGGGAGGGGTGTAGGGGGCTGTGTTTGGTAAATATTGGCAGCTACATACCCCAGTGGGTTCCCATCGGACACCTGAGGTTTGTAGTCACTGATCTGCTCAGGGGTCATGATGCTGGCAGGCGCCGTGCTCCCTGGGCACTCCCCGTCCTCCGAGACCTCTCTGCTGGGCTTCCTTCTGGTGGCCACATTCTTGTACTCCTTGTGCACTGGCACCTCCTCAATTTCCATAACTGTGGGGTCACTGGTGTCCAAGAACGGCTCATGGAAACCGTTATTCATGAAATCACTCTTTTCCTGGAAAAAAATTATGAGTGTAGTAACAAACTAGCAAATTTTATCAACAGGAGAGCTATCATTAGAGCATCCCAAGGAAGAAATGGGGCAATGACTTGCTGTCTTCATCTTGTCTTCCTTCCCACCTCTCTCATCCAATCCCCCCTGTGAAAGAGACAGCAGCAAGGTGGATGAGAGAAGATGGGGAGCAGCTGCGCCTATCTCCATGCTTCTGCACACACTTCAAGGGCAGCTTGAGTCAACTGTGGCCACTGAGTAAAGAGTATATGGAGGCAAGATTTAAAGACCTCAGCTAAGCTGGGCTCCCATGCACCTTGCAAATGCCTTGGAAATGATTTCTGATCAGTTCCTGATCTCTTAGAGCTTAATCCTCTTCCCATCCGTGTTTCTCACAGCTCTGGAGCAAGCTTTAATCTAAGGGGAGACAAGTGAAGAAAAGCTGGGAGATAACGGTGCAATTACCTGGAGTGACTTTATGACGTTGCTGTTTTCCATGTGGGGAAAGTCTTCAAACAGCCATTTTGGCAAGAGCGACACAATGGTGGCATTAATTCTTTACCAAAAAGAAAAAATAAAACCCAAAATGTTAGTCCATTTTATTAGTCACTTGTTCAAGCTGGGTGAAATTGTCCCCTGGCAAGGGGGGAACACACAAGGTGCATCCATCCTTCATGGATGGCTTGGAAGCCCCAGGTCTACCCCATATGGGTGGGTTTCCCCATTTGAAAGCTCTTCATCTTTCAACCTTATTCCTCTGGGTTTGATCCTGGAAGCTAAATTACTCTAGTTAAATCCCTTATGTAAAACTTGTCTGTATGTGAAAATGTTGCTAAACTGGGGGGTGGGGGGAGAACGAAGCTATGTGTGTGTACCAGAGGAGGCATGTGTGCCCTGAACTGATGAAATCAAATACACAGCAGTAATGAAAGTTGATTTTCCTACAGCCAAAGCTGCCGCAGAAATTAAAATCATTCGCAAGAGATTTTAATTTCACTGAGCTTTGCTGACATTCTGGTGCATTGCTCTGTTCCTGGGAAAATACACAGTCCCTGTTGTTGCTGAAATGCTCGTGCTCCACAATTACATTGAGAACAGAATAATTAGGCTGGGTTCAGGAACCAAAAGAGGCAGCCTCTCGACATCCTCGAGCCCCAGGTCTCCTCTCCCCTATTTCTTGGTTTGTCGGGCAGATCCAGACGGTAGCTCTGCGCCACAGAGGTCACCCATTCCCATGGATTTGTGTCGGGGACAGCAATGCCCGGACTCCTGGACATCCCTGTTCCACTTAAACGACAAACCGGGACAGAAGGAGCGCTGGTTTGTGAGGGTGCCTAGTGAACAGCAGTCAGCATTAAAAAACAGTATTAAGATTCTCCCCAGTGAGTTTTTCCACTGTTGCACTCTCCAGTCTCTGCCTGTCCCTCGGGGTCCAGGTGCAAGGGGCTTCAGCATCCCCTCCTCAGTCAAAACTGGGGTAACAAGTCCTAGGATAAAACTTACCTACAGAGGCTACGTTTTTCCCCTCTTTTTCTACCCCTCATATCTGTGTAATAGTATATCGTGTGTCCCTAAGTCTGGCCTTGACAGAGGAGTGATTTTTACTTTTTTTGTTGGTCTCTGCTTTACTGTAGAGCGCATAGAAGTCTGTTCATATATCAATATGATTAATGGGAGAAGTTGTCCTTAGTAAGAGCAGGTTTCTGTAGTTAATTTTAAAATATTTCAGAAGAAAGGCAGGAGTTGGAAATACGGAAAAAATTGTGAGGAAAGCAATACCTTTTTCTGGCTGATTTTTTAAACATCAGAATTATAAAAACAACCGATAATATGACCATGCTGACGCCCAGTCCCAGGAAAACTTCAATGTCATCGTCTGAAAAAGAATACAGAGGAAAAAGGTCAGTTGGGTGGCCCTGCTCCAGCACCCCATCTGCCACGACGTTCGTTGATATAAAGGGCAGATCTTTGATAAAGCAGCCTTCAACATTTCACTTGCCCTTTTGCTCCTCAATTAACAAAACAAAGCCATAACAAAAGCAAAACCAAAACTGCTGTCCCATCCACGTTGTCCTGTGACCAGAGCATCGCAGGCACTGTGGCCCTGTCAAATCTCGATTACTTGGTTGGGGGTAGGGTTCAGCCAAGTAATTTGAAGAAGTGTTGTCACTGTGTTTAACCATTTCCTATGCAGCCTTACCTTCCAGAAATGCTGAAGTGAATTCTTCAGCTTACGTTGGTTTTGCATTTGGCTTAAGTACTGCAACAGATCATAACGTAACCTTTACCAGAAGATGTGCAAACCAGAAGCATAACAAAAGTTAGAAAAATGGATGGGAAATGTTTAAACGAGTCTTCGGCTCAAACTGCAAGGTCGAAACAGTGTATCGTTGTTATGCTATATGTTAACATTATCTTATATTTTCCTTGTTTTCTTATCTCCTACTGGTTGTAATGTACATTATATTGTAAGTGTCATAAGAAAGCAAAACTTAAGGCATGCATTATACAGGTGCTATCAAGCCGTGAGAGCACTGCAGCCTTTCGGGCCATGTAGCCCATGTCCCCATCAAGTGAAAAGTTGCTGTTCTGGCCCTGACCTCTCCAAAGTGTAAGGGAGCTTTCGCTTCCCCATCACCAGATGCTGCAGGCGCTGCTCGGTCTAAAACTTCCACTTCTGGTCAAGGAGAAAGTCTAGCTTACCAAGTCTGAGCTACTAGCTTCTTACCATGGGAGATCTCGCTGTAGGTGCTGCCCAGGAGCTGGTCCTCTGCAGGCACTTAAACAGAGAGAGGAAAAAAATGTCCATAACTTCATTTAGAGGACAGCAGGTGACATAGAAGCTATGGCTTATTTTTATTTTGTTAAAATTATTTAGAAAAATAAGTAATGGTATAATGAGAAAAATAAAGCCCCCTAAAGTAATCAGTAACTCCAGCTCTGGCTGGACTCTACACAATCTCCTATTTCTCAGAGATCCAATTAAATGAGATGTTGATGAACACATAACACCAATTACAAAACATCTTCCACGCACATCGCTCCCCTCAGCACCTGAAACAAGAATTTAGTCTTCCTGAGGAATTGTACATAATTTTTCATGAGCACCTACAGATTATTTCCCAAAGTGTCTGAACTTTGTGGGACTGAATTTTCTGATAATATCTGTTTGTGTGATGGGCTGTGCGATGAGGGAAGATCTGCAGCTAAAAAGCCTGCTATGGCAAGAAGTGTATTTTTGCTAAAATAAGCAGCAAGCATTCTTCCCAGCCAAATTCAGCAATTCCCTTGGGATCTCTTCTCCTTAACAAATACATGGTGCCATTGCTGCTGCAGAAAATGGGTAAGGTCCAGACCAAGGGCAATCCCACCCCTGGGCTGGGTGTTGGACTGAACCTGTAGCCTGGACCAGAACCACAGCTCTGCAGTCAGGACAAGCCACCCACCGCATCTCCCTGGGGTCACCTCCCTGCACGGGAACTGGGGCAATCACCCCGGGCCAGGTGTGAGCATCATGGCCAGCTAGAGAGGGAAGGAATCACCGTGCCCCGCAGTCAGACCTCAGCTGGAGTGATCTGCTGGGGTCGGGGCCACCCTGCAAGAAAAAGGGGCTCTGCTGGGACGCACATGGCGTGCACACTCGCCCTTGGGAAAATGTGCCCCGCCGGAGCATTCTGGGCAGAGCATGCAGTGGGGAGGCGTGCCAGGGCAGCAAGCGAGCGCTGCTGCATGGACAAGGAAGGTAGTCGGTCCCCTTTCACTGCGAGCAGGATGAGAGTTGTCATCTTGGACTGCAGCAGTTAAAGCATGGGTCACGAAAGAGGTCAACTGCTCTAGCAGCAAGACTGAGGAGCACCGAGGTAGGTTGCCTTTTCCTGGAAATGCAAGGGCAGTTTCCACAAACTTCTGTCAGGAATGGAAGCAATACAGCTGATCTTCCCTTGGGGTCGGGTAATTGTCCTTTCCAGCCCTGCTCCCTGTGCTTTTGCTGTCTTTCAATGGCTGTGAGCATTGATGATGATGTGGTTGTGGGTCTGTGTTGTGTTTGAAGGAAGGGAAATGCCCCCAAAGTGGCTGGCAACATAAAAGCCCCCTTTTGCAGAGTCACCCATGTGCATGGCTTATCCTGCAAGCACAGCTCCCACTGGCAGCAGGATTTTCCCAAGACAGCAAATTGCCAATACTGGGAAATTTGGGAAGGGCAGACTCGCAAGTGCGTCTTTAGAAGTACAAGGATGCAGGTGCTTTATGAAACCCCTCATTTGCATGTCTGAAAACTCCTCCGTACCCTTCAGTTGGCTGACTGCTTTAGGAAAAATCCTGCTGCTCCCCATGTTTGCCTCTCTGTCCCCGAGAGCCAGCTGTCTCAGCGGGGCAGGGAGAAAAAGCCACTTCCTCTGCAGAGTGGGGCCATCACCTGGCTCAAGCCAAACGTCTGCTCAGGGCAACAGAGGGCTGAATGCATTTAAGCAGAGGATCAGCATTAATAAGAACAGCAGCTAGCATCCTCATCTACAATCACAGAGCTTCAACTGGCCGAGACAATTAAAGATATCCAGCATAATATATCCTATATATAAAAAATGCATATAATAATATCCTAAACAACATGGGCCACCTGATTTCCGCCAGTGATTTCTGCAACAGAGTTAGTAACCCATCAGCTGAGACTGGTTCAGATGAAAATGCGTGAAAACCTTTTGGAATTCACAGCCTTTAATGAATGAAACAGCAGCGATCAAAGGACGGAGCTTATCCAAGCCTGGTGGAGCAAGCCCTGTTCCACTTCTGTTTGGTACTTGCTTTGCAAGGACCAATGCAAACCCAAGGCCAAATTCAATTTCTTCCTCTCCAAAGGGCAAAAAAATCCCAGAAAAGGTACTGCCTCTGATTTTGTGCATTTGAAGCATATGCGTCTCCTAGCAGAGTTCCTGGAGTTCAAGTATTTCAGTTCCCTAAGTAGAGTGTGTTTGCAGTACAAGCCCACTCAGCTGGAGCGCACTGCAAACGCTGCAAAGTATCTATCGAGTATATGGGATTGTGGAAGAAAAGTGATGGAGTACATTATTCTGCAGCCTGGGAATTCAGCAGTTTTGGGAGGCAGGTGTCACTGGCACACTGAACTTGTATAAATTAAAAAAAAATAATATGATTACAGTAATGCCTTACTGACGATGGACGGGCTCAATCTCAGTAAGGAAGATGAAGAACAAGGTTCAACCTGTGGGGTCAAGCTGGACGACTTTACCATAGGTGTCAGCTGTGGGTTGTGCTGGTGCTTTGGAAGCAAACCTTTTCACAGGTACGAGCTTCACTGCTGCCTCATGTTGGTACTTCCCCACACGAACCGTCAAGCTTTGTTAAAGGAGTCTATGCAACCACTAAGGATGAAGTCTCTACCTTTAAGCATTTAACACATTTCTAAGCCATTTGCTAGTGCAAAGGTTAGAGCATCCTCCTTTTGACATCCAACTCTTCCCCCTTCTGTGCAGACGGAGACCTGCTGCCGAGGTTTAAGCCCACTTGAGGATCAGGACCCTGGAAATTCATGTCACCAGAGCTGGAGGTGCCCAAACCACGACCTGCCCAGAGCTGAAGGCTCTCAGTGTGTCTGTGAGGATAACAGCTAATAGCCAGGGCTAACAGCCATGAACAGCCCGGGGTGAACCAGTCAGGAATATTTGTTTCCATTTCTTGGGAAAAAACGGAATAACTGCCCTTCTCAAAGCCATGAGAGGTGCCATCCAGAAACAGAGAGCTGATTTGTCATAGGGAAAGTGTCTGAGCAGCTTCAAATAATGCATCTAAAATTGCATCACAACATGGGACGGTGAACTGATGACAATCTCAGGTGTTACTGTTGCCTGCAGCTCCAGCCCGCTCTGTCAGGGCTCCGAGGGCACTAACAGGTCTTAATGGCCCTGACCAGCCTCACCTGGGACCTCCACCCACACTCCCTGCCCAGGGGGCTATTTAAGCTCAGCCCTGGGCTATGAGCTATGCTGGAGGAGTTCTGGAGGTCCCAGCTGTGGTCCACAGACTGACTTCATGACTTGACATCAGCCCTCCCTTGTCTCTATGGACCTGCCCAGCCACCACTGGGCACTGCGTGCAGCATCCATAAATGCAGAGGTTTTGTCTGTGGCACAGCTGTGGTGGTGCTGGGAGGTGTCCTCAGTGCTCAGATGTTGGGCTGTGCATGGCTTATCCTGGCTCATCTCCCTGAGGGCCAGCAGTAGGATGGAACAGCTCAGGGAGCTCGGTATGCCCAGTGCTTGAAGACAACCAAAGCCAACGTGCACAGTGCTGGAGGTGATGCACAGACAGTCCTTACTTTCCTTTGTAAATTGGCCCATGCTCTTATCTAAAACAGTTTCCAGAACTGAAGCCTGCCTGCTTCTCACGCCAGGTAAGAAAGGGCAGGCTGCAACTTGGCCAGCTGGTCCCTGTAAAAGTTGCTTTCTTTGTTTTGGGTTTTCTATGACATTTTATTGTCAAACGTGCAAAGCAGCAACCTCAGTTTTCTACCACAGAAAGGGAGAATGATTCCATTGGTGTATCTTGTGGAGTAAGATGTGGTTCTCATGCATTAGAGATTTGTGAACAGGAGCAAAGATCAGCTAGAGAAGGCTTTCATACAGATGCATTGATAAAAATCTCTATTTTTTCGTGTCCTGCAGCCAAGAGGTTTCCATCTAGAGCCCTCCTTTTCTCTAGTCAAGGGGAGGGTTTTACATCTCGTTTCTAAAACTAAGTAATTCTACAAAACTGGTGGATTGTGGGAACATCAAGAATGAAACAGCAAGCTGAGCTCTGCAGCTCCATTGCAGCGAGCAGCAACTTTTCCACCCAACTGGGCTTACCTTGGCCGGAGCTTTGTTTGCTGATTCCGTTGGGGTAGACTGCGTACACTGACACATTGATGCGACCTCCTGCTGCTGCCTCCTCTGGAAAGAAGAAGATTTGCCTTTAAAATGTATTGTAAGCTGCCATGAAAGCTCTAGGCTTGCTCAAGGGCTTGTTACTGACTGGTGAAAGTAGATGGAGGTGTGTGGGGGTTCCCAGCTCTAAGCCTGCTGCACGCCTTCCCTCCCCTGGGGAAAGCCACTGCACGAGCTGTTCCCAAAAACACATGTGGAAGAGCAAAAGCCTCATCAAGTAACTGGTTAGGAAGTACCCAAAACCCAATAAACACCAGAATTAATGTGGGAAGCAGGCATGGAGTGGGACAGGTCCTGAGATGTTCATGCTGCTGGGCTCAAGCTGCGTCGGTAAGGACCCGCAGGCTTGTCTGTCTGGGCACGGGGGGGAGGAGAGGTGCTAAGGCAACAATCTTGGTGCATCAAGTGTTGTGCCTTCTCTCTCTGCATCCTTTAAATGCACACGTGCATCTCCTGCACTTGGGCAGGC